GATAAAGTTTACTTCCATGTTCTGAAGACTCTAGGAAAACCACGTCAAGACTAAAGCTGTAAATGTCACATAATGAATGTTTGCGATTTCTGCTGAATAATATGCGTTTAACCCATGGTGACAAACAACAGTAGCACAAAAAGGAAATATATTTCGTGATGACAGGAAACACTTCACTAGCTTATCTATTTTAGTGAATCTTCATTAATCGCCCTTCATGCATCAACGAAGAAACAATCAGCCGTTTCCCCCAGTTACTCCTCTGCGAAGCACTTAATGACCCGCCAACCTTGCTTGAGACACAGAAAGCGACAAATCTGTTATCCAGTGGCAAAGCCCCTCGCTCAGACGCCATCTCAGCAGAAGTCTAAAAGGAAGGGGGCACAGCCCTGATAGAAAGGCTGTTTTTATTGACGTGGCAGCAAGAGACAATTCCCCAGGAATTCAAAGATGCTTACATAATCCGCTTGTACAAACGCAAAGGAAACCGACAGGTCTGCGACATCCACCTGAATATATCTATGCCTTTAATCGCAGGAAAGATACTCGAAAGAATCCTACTGAACTGCCTCATTACGCACTTTGAACAGGGAATCCTGCCAGAAAACCAGTGTTGATTCCGGAAAGTTTGTGGAACTATCGACATGGTGTTTGCTGCAAAGCAGCTACAAGGTAAATGTCAAGAGCGAAACGCCGACCTTTTCTTCATCTACATCGACTTGACAATGACTTTTGATAGTGTCAGTAGAAAAGGATTATGAAAGGTAATGGCCAAGAATGGGTGACCGAAAAAATTTATATCCATGGTTCAGTACTTCAATGAGGAATACAGGCGAGAGTCCAGGAAAATGGAGAGTCATCTGAACCATTTACAGTAACCAATGGCGTCAAGCAGGGATGTCTTCTGGCACCGACACTGTTCAGTCTATTGTTCTCCGCCATGTTGACTAATGCTTTCAGAGACAGAGAAGTTGGAGTCGGCATCAGGTACCCATATGGAATTTAACACACGGAATATATTGCGGATGTATAGGGACAAGCATTAGGGATTTTTATATTATGGGCACCTTGTAGGCAATATGTGAATTCAACATATGGAATATATAGTTTACTGTTCCCGGATTTGCGCAGAGGATGTGTTTCAGCTGCGTCATCAAGACTTTTGTGCTCAAAGGCTGCCGCTCCAGAATTGACTTGACTGCGGCAAGAATATCGATCAGCAGTGAAAATCTCCCAGCGGTCAGGGTCAATGCCAAAGTTTTTCAGCGAGGTCTTGAGAGTGTCCTTGTACCTATTCTGTTGACTAATGTGACATATCTTGCCTTGCTGAAGCTTCCTATAGAACATCTTTTTTGTTAGGAGTTAGTCCGTCATGCGAACAACATGGCCCGGCCATCGGAGTATGGTGTGGATGCTTGCCATGCCGGCCTGAGTGAACACCTCTGTGTTTGGTACCTTGTCCTGCCATCTGATATTCAGCAGTTTTTTTCAGGGAGCACAGGTGGAAGTGGTTGCTTTTTCAACATGGCGGATATACACAGTCCATGTCTCGCAAGTATAGAGGAAGGTGGGGAAAACAACCACTGTGTAGACTTTGAGTTTGGTGCCACGCTTAATGCCTCTCTAATCCCTGACATTGTGGACTGTTTGTGAGAGGGTGCTGCCGAGAAAGTGATGGATGAATCATGGTAATCTTTTCCAGGAGCTGTCTGATGTGGCACATCGGTCTTGCTGATAGAAATTGGCGAGTCCGACGTTTGTGCACGCTGTAGAAAAGTGGTCCATGCTCTATTGCATGACCGCATCCGTGCTGGAGTTGAGGGCACAGTCATTTACAAGCAGGAAGTCGCGAATGTTCTCAACTTAGACTTTGGTTTTTGCTTGAAGCCTCTTCAGCTTGAATAACTTCCCATCTAGACGGTATCGAAAACCGACCTCCACATCACTGTCCTTAAAAGCGTCCATCAGCATGGCAGAGAACATGGAGTTCAAGAGAGTGGTGGGACGGCTAAGACGCATCCTTGTTTCACACCATTCGTAACGTCAAATGGTTCGGAATAGTTACCCTTGTCCTGGACTCTGGCAAGCATGTTATCATGAAATTGCTTCAAAATTTCCATGAAGACTTAAGGATATCCAAATTTGGTCATTTTCTTCAAAATGTCTTCCTGGTTGACATTGTCAAATGCATTAGTCAGATCCAGGAAGATAATGTATAGCTGAGCCTTTGTTCCTGACACTTTTAATACGCAAAGATCTTGTCGATGTTACCTCTTATTTCTGAAGGCACACTGTTTTGTTTTTTTTTCTGGCTGCTCTGTGACTTGCCTGGTGAGGACCTTCCTGCGATGCAAGAGTAAAGAGATTCCTCTGTAGTTGTCGCAGGATTGGCGATTTCCTTTGCGTTTGTAAATTTGGATGATGGATGCATCTTTGAATTCCTACGGTATACATCTATGCTTCCACATCATACAAAAACAACTCTGTTAATCTTTTCACTAGCTTAGGCCTACCAGACTTGTAGATATCATCTGGGATGGAGTATGCTCGTGGAGCTTTCACCATGGACAGGAGCTCAATGTCCTTATAAAAACAAGCACTGTTGGAGGGTCAGCCAATTTCACGTTCATCTCCAGTTGGGGTAGACTGTTGATAACGTCATCGTTGGTGAAAGAGTCTCTTGAGGACACCACCAAAGTGTTCCCTCAGTGATCGAATATCTTCTCCTTCTCGGTTATGAGAACTCTGCTGAAAGCATCTTTCTTTGCAGCAGACATGGGATTGACGCTGTACGCAGGATGGAAGCAATGCTTATCCTCTAGCAGGGACTGTATTTCTTCACAGTTTTAGTACAATCAGTCTTGGTGATAGCGCGTAGTGACGCAAAGATTTTCAGATGCAACAAAATACACCAACTGTTTGAATATCGCTTAGCACTGCTCTACGTTGGTGGTATGAGTCTGCGGTTTTCAGCTGGCTTGTAAGAGCTTCAGACAGAGCTTGCTTAGCGGTGCAGGCTTTAACCTGGAGACGTTGAGGGGCATGTGACTTTAGTTCCCTTTGAAAGTCTGAGAGGTTCCATTCTAAAATTCATCTTGGATATTAGTAACCTGTGATCTGTCGAGCAGCCAGCACCACACGTCACTATGGTCACACTGATATAATGCCACTTCAACGGATCAAAATATAGTCGATCAGACACCAATAATTCGACCTTTGGTGCATCCATGTTGTTTTGTTACGGTCTGGCAGACGGAAGACGGTGTTTGTGTTCATGAGATCATACGGTGCATACATCCTCAAGAGCAGATGTCCATTGCTGCAGCTGCCAATGCCTTGTCTACCAATAACTCCCTCCTACGATATGTGAACCGCGTCAATACTGGAGTTAAAATATGTAACATTTGACTTTAGTACTAAAGAAATGAGAGCTTCCAGATCCTGGTAGAACATGTCTTTGGCTTCCTCCGAGTTGTTCGTGGTTGGTGCATAAACACTAATGAGTGTGGCTTGCTTTCTTCCTGGTAAGGATAGCTTCAGCATTATTAGCCAGTCATTAATTCCCTGGAAAGCATATTCAAAAGAGTCGATTGGACTGCGACATCAACTCCAGACTCACGATGGTCATTGGTACCACGTCTCCTCCAGAAAAAGGTGTAGCCAGCTTCAATTAGAGTCAACTGATTCAAGTCTAGCAAGCGAGTTTCACTCAGGGCTGCTTTCTCTATCTTGTAACGAACAAGTTCTATTGCAATCAGGGCAGTTCTTCTCCCTGGCATGTTAGCCTCTGCACGATCTAATAACATGCATATATTTGACGCACCAAGGGTAAGTGGAACATTTCGTGTTTCTTTATGTTTTAACCGCAAGAATGGGATTCCTTCCAGCAGCAGTAAGCTTGTCGGGATGAGTGAAGCAGGCTTTTTTAGAGCACATTTTCCAGCCCCTTCCTCAGGTCTGCTTAGTCACTCCGACGGCTGCCAAAATCTATTTCTGCCTCAGGTCAGTGGTAAACGACCCTATGACCTGAGCACCCTGCCACTAAGTCTATTAGTGCATCCACACCTGCCTCGTCACAGCTGGCCCATCGCCGCAGGACTTTTCGACGGGTTATGACATAAATGACTTGCGCGTGAGTTGGATTAAAGTGCGGAAGAGTTGCTCTGTGTTATTCACACTCTCAAGTCTGAGCCACACTTTATCCTGCCTAATGTTTGCTCATTTTATTAAAATTTTCAAAATTGAGCATTATAACTGATGTCAACTTGACAAAACACAACCTCATAATCTAAAAATCAGATTTTGACATCGATTATTCAAAATTTTAAATTTAATTAAATATTTTGAGTAGGATGAAGGGAGTCACACTAATTGGCTAATGAAGGTAAAAGCGGATAAAAATATATTCCCCTATTCATGTGCCTGTTGTGGCTTATTTCGATATGCCATTATTATTTCCTTCTTTGTTAAGAGATCATGAAAAATGATCGTTTTAAATGGATCTGATAATTTAAATTTACTGGCTTTATCGATAATACCCTTAGAAAATGTTTGATCCAGCTGATGATCCACGTTCAAGCGGAGTAAAGAACGTAACTTTTTCTTTTGAATGACACAGACAACTCTGTAGAAATTGTTTATGCATATAGTTTAAGTTTAATACTTGTTTCCTAAACATAATTAAATTATAAATTCTAGATTTAAAATTTACTTATTTTATTACTATATGACAATTATTCATATATGATATAAATTTAACGGGTATAATAATACATAAGTTTGCAAGATCAAAAAGATTGAATTATTTTGTCCTTTTTTAGCATAATATCTTCTTCGCGTTTGTCATGATGTTCGTTCTTTTCAAAAGATCGCAAGCAATGTGCTGCAATTTTGACCTGATTTTAGCCATCGAAAATCCTAATTTCATGAATATATACATGTGTCTAGCAGTTCAAGTCTTTATTTAAGATAGTCCCATGTTTAATTCATATTGTCCATTCGCTCCAGTGGTCTAGTGGTTAGAGCGTCCGCCTCGGATGCAGAAGGTCGTGGTTTCGAAACCCAGCCGAGTCATACCAATGACTTTAAAAACTGGTACTAACAGCTGCCTCGCTTGACGCTCAGCATTATGAGGTTAGTGTTATGACTGGTCGGCCTGGTGTCAGGATAATGTGACTGAGTGGGACATCATGCCACATGTCTGCAGCATGATGTCCCAGTGCTAGACATCACTATAATCTGTCACACTGCAGACATCGTAGCGATATGACTGAAAAATTGTTAAAGCTACGTTAAACATTTAAATCCCTCCCCACACAAATTGCTGTTGTCCATCGAAAGTCTCACACAGCTTATATTTTCATTTGTCCAGGTAGTATGCTTTTTTGATAGATTTATGAAAATAAATGTATGTTTCTGTCTCTAACCCTGTATCTATGTATCTATTTGTCCCTTGTCTTGTAGTAGCGCATATTAAGGTCAGCCACTTGCAACACTGCTCCTACAAACATCGTTGTCATTGCTTGTCCGTACCATGGTTTCACCCTATCCAATTCCCCTTGTCCCCATATAGTGCCATCCATGTTCAGTTTATATCTAGTCCCATGTCAAATTCCCATTATCCCTAGACAGTCCCAATTCCTTGTCGCTATGGTAAATTTCGCTTGCATTTCTCTTGTCCCTTGACAGGCCCACCCATGTTGACGCGTTCATTACTTTGTCGCGTTATATTCCCTATGTTAAATTCTCATTAACTCTAGAGATTCTCACCATTATTATATGCCAATAGACCCAAGTGTACAAACGCCTGAATTTAACATTAAGGCCTACAAGGGGCCAGTGTGTCCCACATTACTACTATCATATTCAGCATTTACAAATTCAGGTGCGAGCTATAGAAGCAATTAGATTTAAGTCTTCTTTTTTCCCGTTTCGAGTGCGAAGAGATACATTTTGTAAAACAACAAAAAAACCCCATATTCATATGTATGTATGCATTCCATTGAATGCTGAATGCATGTTAGGCAGATTTAATTATTTGCTTTGTCAAGGTGAATGAAATACAATGACAAAAAAACCCCCCACCAAAAATACATTCCACCACTGACGAATGCTATCAGAGCTAAAATCAAGTATAACCATATATAAAAATACCTTACAAGAAGAATGTTCATTTCAAGTTGTGTGTTCGATGCTTTTTAACTCCTATTATTTATTGTCTTTTTAGTGACCATACCCAATCATTTGCGAATATGTTGGTAACATATTTGTGCCGTTTGATGAGAATAATTCGAGGCAAAAACTCGTTGCATTTGGCAGAATAAATGCTAGGGACTTACGGTTGTGAAGAAATTGATTGAGTACAAGCTAATACATCTAAAACAGAAAGTAAACTTTCTCTTGATCTCTGTCCAATTCAATTAAAACGACTGATAGAAAATTTAATCCAAAACTGAGAATGTAGTGAGTAACTCGTTCTACATGCAGGGAAAAGAAAAAGACTCCAAGGACTATCTACCAGGATTTCCTGTTACATTGATGGGAAACATGCACATTACAAATGGCATATGGCTGAAGTCTATGGCAAGGATTTATTTAGGATCATTTCAGATCTTATGTCTGTTAATGTATAGTCATTTTGAGCCATGTTTTAGAATCACTATAAGAAAAACAACCAATTTTCTAACATAAATGCTGTCACTGATAATACGAATATAAAACTAAATAAAAATATCATTTTCAAAAATAAGATTATGTTTCTTTGATAGCTGGATAGAAAGACAAAGCTGAATATCCATATTTCACAAACTTCCAATTGCAATAAGATTTACTATAAAATTTTATTTATTAAAATACATTCCGCCATACAGTTCCAAGCTCTATCACTCCAATAAAAAGTTTCTCTTACTACTTTTTTGATATATAAGTAATAAACTTACTCAGCTTCCTATCTTTACTTGGCTAAGAAGACCAGCCTGCAAAGTTTTCAGATGCAGATTTCTTACGCGAAGGAAAGGAGAAAGGAGAGATCATATTAAACGACTAATAAATGGAATGATTCAAAACTGGATGGAAGATTTACTATTCTTAAATGTATGGGCTTACATAGGACTTTATCAAATGTGGGCCGATGTGGCAAGCAATTATATATGGCTTAGTGGTTAATGTGTTGAACCCACGAACAGAAGGATTCAGATTCGATTCACACCAACGAACAAAACCTTTAAATTTTAGATGTGCCTGTCAACATCAAATTCTCCAACCTAACCGTTTTTCAAGATTAAATAAAGAAACTTAAGTTATTCATTCGTCTATTCATTTATTTGGGACAGTATTTTGTAAAATGAGATGACGAATTTGAACCTTGAAAAACGAAGAAACAATTCACAGTTTACTTAATTACTTGTCTTCTGCATAGCATTACAAGGATCAGGAATGTCTAAATGAGGTTACACTATGAGGTCATACGTTACGAAAATTAGGCTTTAGCAAGAAATGTGATAAGTCTTACACATATTAGGTTTTATCATGCAATGCCATACGTACTATGGTAGATTAGTTTTAGCATAAAACACCATACGTGTTATATAGATTTTTAAGTCAACTAAATATGGTCCTCTACATTCATGTCGTTGGTCTGAGTGAAATTAAAAGAAGTTTATGAATTTCCAAGTATGTCTGAAGCAGGTCACAAGAACAAAATATTCACCATTCCATATAAAGCAAAACAATGGATACGAGAAATGAGAAAAGAAGAGTTGAATCTACGGAAGGATCAGCAAAAAATTATATTTTTATTTTGTGGCAATGAGATAATATTTTGTGACCTACCCATTTTACATTTCGGGCAAGAGAAATTCTCTCGCGGCCACTAAATAATACCTCGATAACATTAAAAAAATATACAATGTTTTATCTATGTCCCTTTCATGCTTCCGTATGTATCGATTATTCAGTGCTATTGGAGACTTGTTATAAAGGCCGGATACAGCGATCGTTATACATGAAGCGCTAACCGTTGCCATTTAGTATTGTCAAACATTTGCTGTTAATCTTAATTGCTTTGAGGACGTCTTGATATCTTGTTTTTATTTATGTATTTTTATCTATCAATTTGAATTTAGGAATAAATGAGGATAATAAGTCTTTCCAAACTATGGTTCCGGTAAAAATTATTCTAACGAAATTTCTCCTGAGATGCCCATCTGACACAACAGTTTAATATGCTGTATCCGGTTATTATTTCTTTGGCAGTTGAAATGTTACAAGTGTTAACGTAAATCAAGAGGATGGTCCGTGATAGCAGTGAATAACATATAGGATATTCGATATTGTTAATTTATGTATGGCAATTCGACCGAGAATAAGGTTTGAGTACTATGAGAAATGTCTTGTTGGGTTGGATAATAATATATCAGCCGATTTGTAATTGTAGCGTCATTTTGAGCATCTCGTGAGAAAATTTAAAAAAGATTCTAATATCTAGAGAATAATTGATTTTAATTTATTTCGTAGTAAAAAAATATCTTTATAAAACGTGAATAATAAATTTACTGTCCAGTTAATTTTTTAATTTGTGATCTTTTTTAAATTCAATTTAATTTAGAGTATAATTAGTTTGCTTTTTACACCAATTAACATTATTAAAAATATATCGTTCTTTTCATATGAGAGCAAAGGTCAAAAATCATGTTTGAAAATCAGTTTCACATTATTTTCTTTGTGCATACATCTGTTATTGCTATAAATTCTCAACATAAAGCCTTCGCAGATTAAGATAAATTGAATGAGTGGAACCGGCGCGTTCCCAGAACGTTTCCTATATATATTTCTTTGCAGCTAGATCAGGCGTGTGCAACATCCTCTTAGGTCCTGGGCTTCAAATCGATTTTGAAATGTACCCTGATAAAACCAGGTCGAGGGCCTGATGCGACTTGCGTGCTGTAGGTTGCACATGCCCCGAATTAGAAGCGGTTAAAATGCAAAAGTTTTTGGGGGTTTTCGCCACCGGGATTCCAACGTATAAATCTTTTGCTTGCTTGTTTAAACATCCCAAGCCCTTTTTTCTAGGCATATTATGAAGTCCAGAGTGGACTTGGAAGTACAGTCCGGATCCTGGAGGTCTGGAGTTGGGGTCTCGGGCCAGGAGTTGGGGTATGGGTGAAATAATCTAGACGAAACTATGTTTGCTGTTTGCATGTGTTTATGTCTAATCCTGTCATTATAACATTATCGTTGTACCCATATGTTTCGAAAGAAAACAGAACAGCGGATACAAATACAGAGTCATCGCAAGTTGAATTCTATAAAGGATTCTTCACGATATATAATTTGAAAGCATGATAAGTTTTTCATCCAATAATAAAGGTCGTCTTAAGTACCACATGAATATTAAGGGACAATAATTTATTGAATTCTCAAAATTTTATCATTTCATTGAGAAAAAAATATTATTAACTGTAGTTTATGAATGAGCGTGAGTTTTATTCTACTATATAATGTAAGTTTATATGTTTGTGCTTTCTTTTATGGACAGACCTTTCAATTTTCAAGATAGGGGTTGGGTTGATCGTACTGGAAAATACCTTTATTAATTATAAATTTGTTTATCCTCATATCGCAGGATCATTTTGCACATAATATAATGAATTAATCAGAAAAAGACTATTTTAAGCGATTTGGGGAACCGCCACGTCCTCCAAATTCTCCTACACCAAAAATTGTACGTTCGATCCCGTAATAAAACGCTGAGAAGGTGTATGCCTCACTGATGGCTATATCGAAAACGATTTATTTACTTGCCTCACCATAAAATACTTAATTTAGAATCAACAACGTCATACAAAAAAAAACAGTGACAAGAAAAGTAGAAATTATAACAGATGTTTATACCAAACTTTTTTGACTTAGTGCCCTGTCATCATACTTGTTATCTCAAACAGATGATGATGATGATGATGATTATGATGATGATATTATTATTATTATTATTATTATTATTATTATTATTATTATTATTATTATTATTATTATTATTATTATTATTATTCATGGAGGCAATGTTTGTGCTGCTG